CTTTATTTATGTCAGAATCATACTGTCTTGATCACCATAACTTTGCATTCAGTTTTTAAATCTGGACTGTGAGAGCTCCAATTATTATTTTTAAAGAACTTTTACATTTCCACACGAATTTTAGGATCAGCTTGTCAACTTCTCAAAAACAAAAAGAACAGCTGAGATTTTGATATAAATTGTACTGAATCAATTTAGAAAATATGCTTTATCAACAATGTTAAGCCTTCCGAGCTATGAACATGGGAACTGTTTCCATTTATTTGGGCTTTCTTTAATTCCTTTCAATGTTTTAGTTTTTGGAATGTGACTTTTAAACTACGTTTGAAAACTAATTTCTATTTTAATCTTTTTGATGCTATCGTAAGTGAAATTTTTCTTCATTTCATTTTTGGATTGCTCATTACTCGTGTATAGGATACTTTGGTTTTGTATACTGATCTTGTACCATACAATCCTGTTGAACTAAGTTATTGGTTCTAATAATATTTTAGTAGATTTTTTAGGACTTCCTATGTACAAGATAATATAATCTATAAATAAGAGTTTTATTTCTTCATTCCAATATGAACTGCTTTCATTCTATTTTCTTGGCTGATTGGCCATCCAGTAAAATGTTGAACAGAAATAGCAAGAACTATTGTCTTATCCCTCATGTTAGGGAAGGAAATATGTGATGTTTCAACTCTAAGTATTAGGTTAGCTGTGAATTTTCACAAATGGCCTTTATCAAGTTGAGAAAGTTCCTATCTGTTCTTAGTATATGAGTGTTTTCATTAGGAAAGGATGGACAATTTTATTAAATGCTTTTCATCATCTACTGATAGGAGCATGTGGCTTTTGTTCTTTGCTCAATTAACATTGTGTTTTACATTAATTGATTTTGGATACTAAACAAAATTCGCATGCTGCGAATGTTGCGGCTTCAATTTGCTAGTATTTTGTTAAAGGTTTTTGCATCTACATTCATAAGGAACATTGACCATTAGCTTTATTTTCTTGCGATGTCTTTTCTGGTTTTGAAATTAAAGTAATACTGGCCTCACAGAAAACGCTTTTGAAAGAGTTTGTAAAGAATTATCATTAACATTTTAAATATTTGGTAGAATTCGCCAGTCAAATCTTTTGTACTTTGACTTATCTTTGTGGGAGGCTTTCTTACTAATTCAGTCTTGTGGTTATATTCAGACTGTCTATGTCTTCAGATTTTCTATTTCTTCTTTAATCGTTTTTAACTTATGTCTAAAATTTTGTCAGTTTTTCTTTTTTTATAATAAAAACTTTGTCCCAATACCCAATAACAGGTAACAAGTTAAATAAATAACTGTAATTCTATACAATGACTATTTGTATCTCCTGTAAAGTGAAATATTACCTCATCATTACAAAGTCTGACTTTCTTTCAGGAATATTTGGTATCTGTGAGATGCAAAGATATACAACATATACAAGTTTGTAACTGTGATATACCACATTAACAAAATTAAGGAGAAAAACAATATGATCAGCAGATATGTCTATAATCCCAGTATCTGGTGGCTTAAGCAGAAGAATCCTGAGTTCCAGGTCAGCCTGAACTACAGAGTGAGCCACTGTCTCAAAAAAACTTTAAAAAAACAATCATCAGAATAGGTATAGAAAAAGCATTTGACAAAGCTCAACACACTTTCATGATATTAAAAAAAAAAACAAAAAACCCAACCTCTCAACAGATATGGGTTAGCAGGAATATACCTCAACACAACAGATGCCAAATTTGGCAAGCCCAGAGCTAGCATTTTATACAGCGGTCAAAAGTAAAAAGCTTTTCCTCTAAGATCAAGGATAAGACAAAGATGTCTACTTTGATCATTTCTTTTCAACACAATATCGTAAGTCCTAACCAGAGCAACTAGGCAAGAGAAAAAAATAAAAGATTTCTTAATAAAGGAAGATATGAAATTGTCTCTGCTGACATTAACTTATATATCAAAAACCCTAAAGACTCTATCCCAAAACTATTAGAGCAGATAAAGAAATTCAGTAAAGTTTCAGGATACAAAATCAACAGGTACATGCCTGTTAATTCCAGCACTTAGGAAGCTGAGGCAGAAGATTACAAGTTCAAGGCCAGCCTGAATTCCAGGTCAGGCAGGGCTACACAGCAAGACTCTGTCTAAAAAACAAAACAAACCTAAAAATCAACAAAAACAAAAACTCAGTACTGTGGCCTGGAGAGGTGATTCAGTGATTGAGTACTTTCCTAATAAGCAAGAGGCTCTGGGTTCAATCCCTAGCACCAAAAAAATAAATAAAATGAAAGAGAGAGAGAGAGAGAGAGAGAGAGAAAAAGAAAAATTATTATTAGCTATCAGAAAAAGAAATTACTAAAACAATCCCATTTACAATAGCAACAATAACAAAAACACTTAGGGGTAAATTTATCCAATAAAATGAAAAACCTATATACTGAAAACTATAAAACACTTATTTGCTGGGTGTGGTGGCACACACATGTAATCCCAGCATGCAGAAGGCTGAGGCAGGATGACTGAGAATTCAAGGCCAGTGTGGCATACATAGAATTTGAAGATAGCCCAGGTTACACAGCAAGACCCTGTCTCAAAAGAAAAAAAAAAAAAAACACTCAACAATGATTAAAGAAATTGAAAACACAAATAAATGGAAAGATATTCCATGTTCATAGATTGGAAGAATTAATTACAATTTTTTGTTAAAATTCCGTAACACCAGCTGGCAGGGCTACACCAATGGCTCATGCCTATAAGCCTAGCTGCTCAGAAGGCAGAGATCAAGAAAATCGAGGTTTAAAGCCAGCCTGAGCAAACAGTTCATAAGACCCTATCCCAAAAACCCCATCACAAAAAAAAAAGGCTGGTGAAGTAGATCAAGGTGAAGGTCCTGAGTTCAAACCCCAGTACCTCGAGAAAAAAAAAAAAATCAGCAGATTCAATGCAATCCCTAATCAATGACATTTTTCACAGAAATAATAAAAAAAATCTTAAGTTTGTAGGGAATCATAAAAGACTCAGAATAGCCAAAGCAATCCTGAGCAAAAAAAGAACAAATGTGGAGGCATCACTCCCCCTGGTTTCAATTATAAAGTCACTCTAATCAAAATAGCAAGGTATTGGGCTAGTGGAGTGGCTCAAGTAGTAGAGCACCTGCCTAGCAAGTGTGAGGGCCTGAGTTCAAAATAGCAAGGTACTGGAACAGGATAGAAAGCCCAGAAATAAGCCCATTTATGGCCAAATGATTTTTGACAAAGATGCCAAGAATACACAGTGGGGAAAGGACAGTCTCCTCAAAAAATGGTGCTGGGAAAACTGAATAACTAGACATCCACACACAGAAGAATGAAAACAGATCCAAAAAGCAACTCAAAATAGATCAAAAGCCTAAATATAAAATCTAAAACTGTAAAACTGCTAGAATACAGGGAGAACATTAATCTGAGCAATAATTCTTTAGATATGATCCTAGAAACACATGGAACAAAGGCAAAAAAGAAAAAAACACAAGTGGAACTACTGCACCTTAAAAATCTTCTGCAGGGGAGGGGACTAAGGAGGGGAGTTGTGGGGGTGATCTAACCAACGTACAATGCAAGACTATCTGGAATTGTCACAATGAATCCCCCTGTACAATAAATATATGCTAATAAAAAAGCTTCTGCAATACAAAGGACGTAATTAGCAAAGTAAAAAGATAACTCAGAGTGGGAGGAGATATTTGTAGAGCGTCCACTTGATAAAGGGTTAAATATTAAAATTATATAAAGAATATAAGGAAATCAAACAAGTCAGTGGCAAGAAAAACCACCCAATTTCAAAAAGGGACAAAGGACCTGAACAGTCATTTACATATAGTTGACTAACAGGTTCATGAAAAAAATGCTTGGCATCACTGATTATTACAAAAATACAAATTAGAACCACAATGACATATGGCTGTGTATATGTTAGAATGTCTATTTATCAAAAAGATGAAAGGCAAAGTGGCTCAAGTGGTAGAGACCTGCCTAGCAAGCATGAGGCCCTGAGTTCAAACCCCAGTGCCATCAAAAAAAAGATGAGTGATAATAAGTGTTAGTCAGAATGTTGAGAAATTGGAACCCTCGTGAATTTTGGTAAATGTAAATTAATATAACCACTATGACAATGATATGGAGATTCTTCAACAATCATAAAATACCCAGGTTCTGGTGGCTCACAACTGTAATCCTAGCTGCGTGGGAGGATGAGATTTGGAGGACTGCAGTTCCAACTCAGCCTGGGGAAACAGTTTGTGAGACTCCATCTCCAAAATAACCAGAGAAAAACGCACTGGGAGGCATGGCTCAAACAGTAGAGCTCCTGCTTTGCAAGTGCAAGGTCCTAAATCCCACCAAAACCAAAAACTCCTAAAATAGGACTACCATATGATCCAACAGTCCCACTCCTGGTACACAGTCAGAGGAAATGAAATCAATGTCAAAAAGATATCTGCACTCTCCTGTTGACTCTAGCATTACTCACAATAGCTAAGATGGAATCAAACTATACGTCAGCAGATTGGTAAAGAAAACGTGATGTATATATATGATAGAATACTACTCAACCTGTAAAAAGAAGGAAATCCTGTCATTTGCAACAACATGGATAAACCTGGAGGGCAGTATGCTAAGGGAAATAAGGCAGGCTCAGAAAGACAAACACCATCTGGAGGGGTGGGTATGCAGAGCTGTTGATCAAAAAGTACAAAGTTTTTGGTTACATAGAAAGAGTAAGTTTTGGGTTTGGATTTTCTATTTTTCTTCATTAGTGGTACTGGGGATTGAACTCAGAGCTTCATGCTTCTAGGAATCCTTTGAGCCACTTACCCCAGTCCTTTTTGCTTTTAGTTGTTTTTCAAGTAAGGTGTTGTGCTTATGCCAGCCTGAACTGTGATCCTCCTGCTTATGCTCCCAGCTGGGATAACAGGCACACACCACCATGCCCAGCTTTTTATTGGTTGAGACAGTCTTGTAGACATTTTGCCCAGGCTAGCCTCAAACCTCAATCCTCCCAATCTCTGCTTCCTGAGTTGCTAGGATTATAGGCGTAAGTCATTTCATCTGGCCAGGAGTAAGTTTTGAGATCTATTGCACAGCAGAGTTAGTAATAAAATTAATAATTCAAAATAACCAAGAATAAATTTCAAATGTCTTACCACAAAATTAGCAAACTGATGCATAGTTAATTAGCTTGATTCAATCATTCTCCCTTGTATACACATACTGAAATATCACACTCTACCCCATAAGTGTATATAACTATGGTTTTTTCAATGAAAATAAGATTAATGAAAAAAAATTTAAGGAAAACAGATTTTTTTCCTTAAAGCAGCTACTGTAGCTTAGGTCCTCCAACTCTTCGGTTCCATCTTCCTCATCTGAAAAGTAACATCACCTCACAGAGTCATTCTGGAGACTCAGTGAGCATATACACAGCACTCATCACAGCCTCTGAAACACAGCAAGCAATAAATAAATGTTGCTGCTATAATGACTGTATTGACATTATAAATTCCTCACGTACCGAACCCATGAGTGACTGGTTCTCTTCAGAGATTCAAAAGGCATCTAAGACTGCAAGGTGTCTAAATATTACAAATGCATGGAACCCTTTTCAAGGAATATATCCTACAGATATGTTTATACACATGCAAAATAACACTCGCTATTCACTTTTGTTTAAGACTGAGAAGAAAAGCCAATTTCCCTTTAAAAGGAATTATACACAGCGTACCCTATGGCTTACTACACAGCTGGAAAAAACAATGTACTGATATGCAATGGTCATATTATGGAGTGATAAAAGCAAGAAGAGTGCCAGTGTGTATGACATACCTTCATGTAAAAATAAGGGGAAATAGCTTTCCACATTTGTCATTGCATAAATTAATACTGGAGGAACCAGAAAGCCAATGAAAGTGATTACTTGAGCGAAGGGCAGTGGAACTTTTCGTAAGGCTTTCTACATTGCCTACATTTTTTTTACCTTTCATATGTATATTTTTTTACCTTTCATATGTATAATGTATACATAAAGAAGTGCACATATAGAATATGGACCCCTACATAGATTCTTACAAACTAAGCATGACTATACGACCACACCCAGATAACAAAACAGCACCACCAGTCCCCAGAAGACTCCTCCTTCCCAGCCATTCCACTCCTTCAACCAAACAAAAACTTCAAGAAGGTAAGTTTGTTTTGTCTGTTTTTGTACTTTATATAAATGGAACTATAAAACATGCACTGTATACTCTTGTTTCTGACTTCTTTGGCTTCAGTTGCTTGGAGAATCACTCATCTTGTAGTGGGGAGATGTAGATCATTCACAGCTGGTGCCAGATATTATTCTGTAGTGTATGACTACTACAGGTTTTGTTGGTGAGCATTTGGGTGGAGCTATTACAAATAGTAATTCTATCAGCATTCTTAGTCATGTCTTTTAGTGCATGGACTTCTCTTGGGATCATAGGGGAGGCATACTTTCACATTTAGAAACCACTGTTAAGTAATCCTCCAAGGTGGTTACACCAATTTCCATTCCTACCAGCAGGAACATTCCAGCAGATATGAATCCTTGCGATGTTTGGTATTGCTTGTCTTTTTGGTTTCATTTTGGTAAGTGTGTAGTGGTATCACATTGTGGCTTCAATTTGCTTTTTCCTGAAAACTGATGAAAAGGTACTCAATTTCATTAGTCATCAGGCAAATAACAAGTGATTTTGAGCCATGTAAACGTATTACCTATTCAAGAAGATACATATACACTTTAATTATTCTTTTTAAAAAATTCATGACTCCAGAGTCCTCACTGAAAAGATCAAAGCACATGGAAAGGAGTGTGTGTGCACATGCATATGTATACTTCTGTCTTACTGGCTAATGATGACTTCTAATTAACAGATTTTTTCCATATAACCCAGACACACGTGAACAGGAAACATGAATTACATAATCTTGACAAGGGAACCATAGTCCCAGTTCCTTAGTAGGGTTCAAAAGTACTTTTCTGAGCAGCCCTCCAGTAATCTTCCTACCTCCTTCTCCTGCATGGGAATGTAGTATGGCATGCTGATCTGACGTTGCTTAGGAATTAAGACCTGGAACTTGTTCTCTGTTTCACTGAAGGTCTTGACCCCGCTGAGTTGGGATGGCCGCTGCCCAATAAATACACAGTAATCCTTGATGTCCCAGATCTAGGCACAAAGTGTGGGTTAGTGATCTAGCACCCCTTGACCCCTAACCCTAACTCACTTTGTGGGCTCTTCCCTGACTACTCCTCTTCACTTTAGGAGTGCTTGTCAATCCTCCCCTCTCTCCCTCCTTTCCTTCTTTCTTTCTTGTGAGCATGGTGTTTGAGCTCAGGGCCTCATGCTTGCAAAGCAGGTGCTCTTCTACTTGAGCCACATCTCCAGCCCCAGCAGTTCTTATTTTACTTATACCTCTGCTACAAATAGCCACTTGGGGCCAGAAAGGGTCTTAGAGTGTTCTGAGCCAGACCTCTTGGTTAGCACATAGAGGGGATGATGGGCTCAAGGATAAGACAGTCCTGCTTCATGTCTCATGATAAAGCACAACTCAGTTTCTGAGACAACTGATCCCAGTTGAGACATGAGGCTGGGGCCAAAGGAGTTGCAGGAGGACACTGATGGAACACAGGACTCCCTGTTGAGAGTTTTTTTATACGATCCCACACTTATTTCACTGGGCATGCCACAAGCAGGAGAAGACTACCAAGTAACCTACCTACTTCCCCACTGTTTTATAACACATCCAGTACCCAGAGAGAACAGGAACAAGGCAGGGCCACATGTAGCAAGAGGTAGTCAGCAGCTTGATTGACCAAGCCCATCCTTCTTAATGCCAGTTTTTCCTCACCTTGATGTTTCCTTTACAGTCCCCTGTGATGAGGATCCAGTCATTTTCATCAGTGGCCATGGCACCCACAACAACATTCCCACTGGTGTCAAGGTCCACAGGGAACTTCCCTAACAGGCCTCCATTCCCGTGGATGGACCATGCGTAGATGTAGCCGTCGTTGCAGCTGCTCAGCATGGCAGCTGTGTATGGCAGGCGAGGCCTGGTCTGTAGGAAGATTATCTATGCAAGAGACAGACCAGGCTCAGAAGGACTATGAGCCAGAGTTTACTCTAGTTGTCACACAATGCTCAAGGACCCAGGCAAGTCAAGTCACTACACCCAATTTCCAAGGTGCCCCTTCCTGCCTTGCAAGTGCTGAGGAGAATCATACTGGACTATGAGCTATGGGAGGGCAGGAATTGATATCTTTTAGTTGCTGTTGTTTATTACTTTATTCTCAGTAACTATCATGGTGCCTTAAACATAGCACATGATCAATAAATGTTTGTTGAAAGATGAAATGCAAGTCTGTCCTAAGACTCAAATAAAATTTTCAAGACTTATAACTCAACTCAAAGTGGTCTGGAGAAAGAATTCTTTCCCACTCATATATCTCTACAGCAAAATATTCACATTTTCCAGCCAATTGCTAAGAAAGCATTTGAGTCAAATTTTCGTTCAAGTCTTGCTTTGATCACGTCCTTTGCTAATTTCCCCCCTCTGCTCACTTTGGCCTTCCATGTGACCCCTGTGGCCTATGTAAGGAGATCTCAGTAAAATGTCACTCTGGCCAGGTGCCAGTGGCTCACACCTATAATCCCAGCTACTCAAGAAGCAGAGATCAGAAGGATCAAGGTTCAAGGACAGCTGGGCAAACAGTTACACACACACACACACACACACACACAGGCCTGGTAGAGTGGCTCAAATGGTAAAGCACCTGCCTAGCAAGTATGAGACCCTGAGTTCAAACCCCAAGACTGCCAAAAAAAAAAAGTTACTTCACATAGTGAACATGAAAAGGGAGTGGCTTACATGGTACCCTGCATGAGGCTGAGAGCACAGTCAGGATGGTAAAACAAATCAGGCCAGGAAGGAGAAACTGAAGGCCTTACTCCTACTAAGTCACAGCTTTACAATGTGATGGTTTAGGTGTCCACAAAACATGTCACTAAATAACAACAAAAAAAACTCTGATTTTCCTGATTATCATGGAAGTCCTGAACAAGATATTCAGCCCACTTCCCACTGATTCAAGTGCTAAAATAAATAAATTAAAAAAAAAAAACAGAATCAGCTGGGCATGGTAGTACATGCCTGGAATCCCAGCACTCAGGAAGCTGAGGCAGGAGGATCTGTAAATTTAGCAGTATATTAAATGGACTATATGACATGACCAAGTAGGATTTATTCCTGAAATGTTCAACATACAAAAAGAGAACTCAGAGGTAGAACACATATGTATGCCTGAGACCCTGGGTTCAATTCCCCAGTACCAAAAAAAAAAAGAAAAGAAAATCAATCAATGCAATGTATTACATTAATAGCAGAAGAAGGGGGGAACCACATGAACACTCAGAAGAAGCACTTGAAAAAATTTAACACCTTTTTGTGATAAAAAGAACCAAATTGAGTGGAGGTATGGCTCAAGCAGTGGAGAGCCTGCTTTGCAAGTGTGAAGCCCTGAGTTCAAACCACAGTTCCACCAAAAAAAAAAAGCACCAAGATAACTATGAATAAAAGGAAATTATCTCAACACAATAAAAGCTAGATATGAAAAATCTACAGTAAACATCATCCTCAATTGGAATCCTTTCCTCCAGGATCAGAAACAAGACAAGGATGCCCATTTTCACCACTTCCACTCAACATAGTACTAGAAGTTCTAGCTAGAGCAATTAAGTAAGGAAAAGGAACAAAAGGCTTCCAAGTTGGAAAGGAAGATGTAAAACTATGTCTGTTTGCAGATGATATGTTCTTATATACAGAAAACTCTAAAAATTCCAAAATATGGATAGAGCTAATAAATGAATACAGCAAAGTAACAGGATATGAAGTCAATACAAAAATGATTCACATTTCTATATACTAACAGTGAAAGAATTATTTACAATAGCATCAACAGAATAAAATACTTAGAAATTAACTTAACCAAAGAGGTAAAAGATGTGTACAATAAAAATTACAAAACAGCTGGACATAGTGGCTCACACCTGTAATCCCAGATACTCAAGAAGCAGAGATCAGGAGAATCATGGTTCCAGGACAACCAGGCAAAAAAAGTTAGTGGGACCCCATCTCAATCAATAAGGTGAGCATAGTGGCATGCACCTATGATTCCAGTTAAGTGAGAGGCTGCAGATAGGAGGACTGTGGTCTGAGGCTGGCCCAATGCAAAAATGCAAGACCCTATCTGAAAATAAAAGCAAAAAGGGCTGAGATCATAGCTCAAGTGGTAGAGTACATGCCTAGCAACTGCAAGGCCCTGAGTCCATACCCCACTACTATCCAAAAAAAATCAAAATATTGCTGAAAGAAACTAAATATGGCATAAGTGGAAACATATTCCATGTTCATGGATTGGGTCCCCTGTTTGTTAATATTGTTCAGATGTCAATAGTTTCCAAAGCAATCTACAGATTCAATGCAGTCCTTACCAAAAAATGACTCTTTTGCAGAAACAGAAAAATCTATCCTAAAATTCATAGTCTCAAGGGGCCCTGAGTAGCCAAAACAATTTTGAAAAAGAAAACAAAGCTGGAGAACTCACACTTTCTGATATCAAAATTTATGACCAAACTACACTAAACCCAAACACTGTGGTGATACCATGAAGACAGTGAAGACAGGCTTGAAGATCAATTGAATAGTGGAGATATCCAACAAACAAACCTTTGTACATATATATATATATATATATATATATATATATATAATCAAATTCCACCAAGAATTCTGAGACCATTCAGTACAGAAAGAACAGTATTTTCGACACATGGTTTTGGAAAAACTGGTATCTACATTAAGTGGAATGAGGTTGGATTCTTATCTAACATCATATAAGAAAATTAAGGGGCTGGAGTGTGGCTCAAGTGGTAGAGCACCTGCCTAGCAAGCATAAGACCTTGAGTTTAATCCCCAGTGCTTCAAAAAAATAAAATAAAGTAGACCAAATACATAAACTTAAGACCTAAAATGAATAAGTTCCAGGAAACTGGAGTTGGCAATGATTTCCGGGATATGAGACCAAAAGCACAAGCAACAAAAGAAAAAACAGATCAGAGACCATGAAAATTTTAAGATTTAAAATTTTAAATTTTAAGATGTTGTGTATTCAGGGTGGAGTGGCTCAAGCTGGAGAGCGCATGCCTAGCAAGTGTGAAGTCCTGAGTTCAAACCCCACTGCTGCCAAAAATAAATAATAAATAAAAGATAATATATAGCAGCATTAAGAACAGCTAAAATGCAGTAGTAACTGAAGTGTCCATGAATGGAAAAACTACTCATGCAATGGGACAGTATTCAGCCTGAAAAGGAAAAGAAATTTTGGCATATGAATTAAGTCTAAGGAACATTATGCTTAGTGAAATAAGCCAATCATAAAAAGATGAACACTATAGAATTTCACTTCTATGAGGCAGTTGTAGCAGTGAAACCACAGGGAGAGAAAGTAGCATAGTGGCTGATGTAGGAGAGGAGAGTGGGAGTTATCGTTTGGGCACAATTTCGATTTTGCAACATGCTAACGTTACGGAGGTGGACGGTGGCGATGGCTACTACACATTATGAATTCCACTGAATAGCCCTGAAGTACACACGTTTATGAATACGCAATGAAAACCACCTGCAGTATCCCAGTACCCAGACCCAATCACAAGTAAGATTTTAACTTATTTCCTTTTGGTGTTTTTTTCCTGTTACAGTATCTATAAAGAGTTCTATCATAGGTTTTTCAATTATGAAGGATATATGCAAGATAGAAATTTACACCAACAGAATAATAAAGAGGGTCCAATAATAGACCTAAAAATATAAGAGACTATCTACAGTATGTAATAATGGTAGAATTTCAGGTCAGTGGAGAAAAGACTCAGTCAGTGGTACCTGAACAGCTGATTACAAATTCAGAAAAAAATTCAACTCATGCATTACCATACACAAAATGACTTAGATGTAACTAATTCAACCTGCTTCTTTGTTTTTTTTTGAGTTAGGGTCTCTTTATGTAGCCCAGGCTCACTTGGAACTCACTATGTAGCCAGAGCTGATCTGAACTCTCAATCCTCATGCCTCAGCCTCCTAAGTGGAAGGATTATAGATGTGTGCCACCACATCTAGCTCTGAACCTATTTCTTTATCCATAGAACGGGAAGAATAATGGTACATACACACCCTCCAGAGCTGTTAAAGAGATGAAATAAAAATAATATATGTAAATCATTAAGGTCATTGCCTAACAGACATTAAGAGTTCAACAAATATGTGCTGCTGTTTATATTATTATGAGACAGAAATGTAACACAACATAACAAAAGCTTTCAGGGAGTGCAGTTCTAACCATGGGGTTTTACGCCTGGGAAGTAGTCAAGAGGTCCCACGTGTATGTATAATTATCTTCACCACAGTAATTTCTCTAAAGGCAAAACCTAGAAATCTAACCATCCACCAGTCACAGCAGATGGTTGGACTATAGTGAATGCCAGAACCCTCTGTACTGGAAAAGGAAGCTGGGCTCCATAAACATAGCCATGAAGAGAAACAGGCCACGAGGCTGCAGGCAGGAAGAAGCAAGTTGCAGGGTCCACATAATATGAAGATATGTTTGTGTTTACACATATACAGTCATGGCTGCATGCACTTCTGCACGCGCGCGCGCGCACACACACACACACACACACACACACACACACACAGTCTAGAAGGCCAACCACAGGTCTCAGTAGTTACCTTGGAGAGGCAGGAGGAAGACAGCCATTCTTTTACTTCACACACTCCTAGAGAGCTTGAAAGCTTGAATTTCTTAGTTGTTTTTTTTTGTTTTGTTTTTTGTGGTACTGGGGCTTGAACTCAGGGCCTTCACCTTGAGCCAATCCACCAGCCCTTTTGTAATGGGTTATTTTCAAGATAGGGTCTCACAAACTATCTGCCTGCCTGGGCTGGATTTGAACAGCGATCCTCCTGATCTCTGCCTCCTGAGTGGCTAAGATTATAGGTGTGAGCAAGCAGCACCCAGCGAATTTCTTAGTTTTAATGAAGGACATATATCACGTACTAATTCCAGAGAAAGAGCAGCAGAGAGATAAACAAAAAATGAAGCGAGAGAAAACTGTTCTGTCCTGAACCTTCCAGAGAAGCTTTCTCGTGAGGGCCTTGTGCCCACCATTCCCTCTGCTGGGGTCTCTCTTCTGCCAGACAACTGCAAGCCATGTTCCTCACTTCCCTCAAGCTCTGTGAAAATGCCACTTCCTCTGTGAAGCCCTTCCTGACCAGCCTACTGAAACAGCAGTGCCACCTGCCTTTTGCCAGCTTTCTTGTTCTCCACTATCTCTGCTCATTCTGACATGATTCAGAGCTTTATGCTTGCAAAGCAGGCACTCTACCATTTAAGCCACAACTCCAGTCCATTTTGCTCTGGTTATTTTGGAGATGGGGGTCTTGTGAATTATTTGCCTAGGCTGGCTCGAACCTCCTAATCTCAGCCTCCCAAGCAGCTAGGATTACAGGCATAAGCCATGGGCATGCCCTTCATTTTTGCCTTGCTAGTTAATTGTCTTACCCCAACCACAGTGTCAACTCCATTAGGCACTGCTACCTCCCCAGTGTTTGGTATGTAGTAAACACACAGCAAGCAAATTCCTGCACCCTGACAGCAACTTTGTGCCATCTACCTCGAGTTACAGGGCCTATTAGCAGCCCTGCTCCCAAGAACATTCTTTCAGTACCTTCACACAGTGCACGGCAGTCGGTGCACCTGAGGATGATCAGTGCAGTGCTGCTCATAAAAGCTACAAGCTGGATTCCCCTATGTGTCCATCAATAGGAGACTGGCTTAAAAGTAGTTTTCTTGTTTTGGTTTGGTTTTAGTTTTATTTTTTTGGAGGTACTGGGGTTTGAACTCAGGCAGGTGCTTGGCCACTTGAACAACACCTCATTTTTTTTTTTTTCACTTTAGTTGTTTTTCACATAGGGTCTCACACATTTTTGACTGGGCCAACCTCAGACATGATCCTTCTATAGATGTCACCTACTACATAATCATAGCTGTGAGTATGCATCACCACAACTAGCTTATTTGTTGAGATGGGATCTCACTAACTTTTTGCCCAGAGTGGCCTCGAACCAAGATCCTATCTCTCCCTTTCCAAGAAGCTGGGATTATAGGCAGGAACCACCATGCCCAGCCCTTAAAGGTATTTTTAGAAAGAGAAGAACATTCGGAACCTGAAATAGGGAATGAATCACTTTCCGCTGTCCACCTCAAAACCACACATCTCTGAGGGGCACCACCTGCTCCGTATTCTCAAGTCCATGGTTCCTAGAGTTGGGTAATGGAGCAGTTCTACCACACTCTAATACGACCAGGATGTGGATTTTCAGAAGGGGGAGGATGTGCCACAATGAGGCAGACCAGGGTCAGAAAGAGGAAAGGTACAGGAGAAAGAAATGAGAACAGAGATGAACCAACCCTGCTTGTATACCCTACAAAATGCCATTCCAAGTATTATATTCATGATATATTCTTAAATTTTTAAAAGGCAGCTCAGTGGTAGAGCATTTGCCTAGGATGAGTGATATCCTAGGTTCCATCCCCAGCACCACGGGGGGGGGGGGGAAGCAAATACCAAGATGTAACTATAATTTTACATCAGTAGTCTATGAAAAAGCACAAAGGCTAAAACCAGTCTGCTAACAGAGACTATTAACACCTAAAGGAGAGTGTTCTAACAGTGGATTGTGGAAATGACACCTCTCCTCCAACCCAACCCCACCCCCTGCAGCCAGACAAGGTCAATGCTCACCTACCTAGGCACCCCATGCCCCACCCCTGGAGAACTCTCCCCAGACACAGCAGCCTTGACTCCAGAATCCTGTGAGGCACCATCCTCGCCACTAGACCTTCCTGGCATTGGGGGAGTCAGGCTGGGTCCCTTCCCCAAGATCTCTAGGCCCCCAGCCTAACTGCCCACTCTCCAGCTGAGCACAGCCCACCTTCTCCACTGATGCATTGGACTGCACCAACTTCTTCTTCTGGAATTCCCCATGTTTTCTTTCAGCCTCTTGTGAATTGACTGTTTACTAAAGAGCTTGTTTGACACCCTGGATCTTCGAGATTTTAAAGGTGTCTAGAAAGAAAAACAGGCATCCAAAGTTACCACAAGTGTGTCTTCCTTCCCGTGGGGAGCAGAAATCAAAGGCAGGTAATACTTTCTGCTGTGAAAAGTCCAGCAGAGTATCTGGTGGATCCTAGACCTTAGGAGACTGTGATGAGGAGAATCTCTATTTTAAGTGCTCTCTAGGGCAGAGACTTGTATTTGCCTTTAGGAAAGACTTCCTTTCTCCTGGAGGTGATCACTTTGGTTAAAACTGAGGCAAGAGGGGCCTAATACCCATTCCTCTAGAAGATCTAAATGCCATAGTATAACCCTGATCCTTCAAAGATAGCCTTGTTTTTATGTTTTGTTTTGTTTTTTTGGTGGCACTGGGATTTGAATTCAGGGCTTCGAACTCAGGGCTTCATGCTTATAAAGCAGGCATTCTATTTCTTGAGTCACACCTCCAGTCCATTTTGTTGGCCTCAAACTGTGATCCTCCTGATCTTAGCCTCCCAAGTAGCTAGGATTACAGGCATAAGCCACTGACACCCATCTAGAATGAATGTCTTACAGTATTGTAGAGTGTACAATACTCTATAGTACAGCTCCTGCCAGAGCTGAGTCTACACTGCTTTATGCCTAGCAAAGATCATGTGCTTTTAGGGAGGTGGTGCTTTTCATTTAAGCCTCAACTCCCAGGAGCAGAAATCAGACCTCAATTGCAGAAAAAAATCAGACTGGCTCCTCCAACCCCACACAAAAGATTCCTGTATGTAGTCATTGCTGGAAGTCCTAGGACAACGACCCCTACACACACACCTGGAGTCTGAAGTCAGAGCTCTTTCAGCTCCTTCTGGTGACAGAACTTTCAGTCATTCTTGGAAGGGCCAGTTCTAGGGTTGATGAGCTTTAGAGGTTTCTTGACCTCCCACAGTACAGCCTGGCCTCCAAGGAGGCACAACTTGCTAGGCTTGTCTGGGCTCTCTGTGGCTCACTCCTGGGTCAGAGCCCTGGGCTTAAGCTTGAGGACTAAAAAGCAGCCCAGATCTAACATCCAATTTTATGTGTTCAGAGTTATGTTCCCTTCAGGTCCTGCCTCTAAGCTTTCAGACTCTCAGGCCTGGTCTGGCAAGGCTCTGGGATGGGCAATGCCTAAGTATGAGGCAGCACAGCAGGACAGACATAAGGACTAAAACAGGGAGGTGCTCTTCTGCCTTCCTGCTCAAAACGAGTGAGCTGACAGACCATAGGTACTCTAGAAATAGTGCATCCAAATAAGAAAACACACGCAACAAGCACATGCAGGTGGGCACCTCCTGGGGCACAGATCTGTCTGGCTCTTTGTCTGTTAGGTGTCTCATCACTGGAGGAGCTGATGTCAGGTTCCGCCTCAGGTTTGCATTGGCCACAGTCTTGGAGTCAGAAGGGGGCCTCAGAGGGGGCTTGTAGGCCCACTTCATCTTCTCCCTGCAGCCTCTGCTGGGCTTAGGGCTCTGAGCCCTGCAATCCTCCACTTCTTGCACCTGTGCAGGGAGAGAGCACCCCTAAGGCACTGAGGTACCCTAGAGTGAATCTCAGGATCTTCCCATCGCAGTGCCAACACTATGAGCCATCCAGTTGCCTGGGGGCTTGCTTCCTAGAAACCCTACACCAAAGTCTGCCACTAATGCCCTGGGTAGGATGCTGTACTCATGAGGAACTCAGTCTTCCCATCTGGAAAACAGACAATGGTTTCCAAATATTTTCATGGTTGTTTTTAATCTTAGGGAAGTCCAAAGTATAAAACACATAAAAAGGTGAACTGTTGTAGGAGAAGCCTCACATACCAGAGCCTCTGGCAATCCTGCAGGGGCTTCAAAGCATCTCTCCTCAACACACTTGGAAAACCACTGTTTGAGGTAACCCTTAAGGTCCCTTCCAACTTCAATTGGCTATGATACGGTCATTCAGAGACTGGACATAAGCCTGATGAACCTGGGGCAATAGTGGGTTAACAGTGGTACGTAAGATGTGCATGTGATAGTTAATCTTGACTGTCAACTTAACTGGATAGGAAAGCACCCAGGACATTGGTGAGGCACACCTCTGGCTGTGTTTGTGAGGGATTTGCAGGGAGGATAAACGAAGGGGCAAGACTTGCTCTGACTATGGGCAGCACCATTCCACAGGCTAAGGGGAAGAGGGAAAGGCCACTGCTGAAGGCATTCTCTCTCTCTGCTTTCTCACAGCCATAGGTGAACTAACTCACCACACCCTCCGCATCACAATGGACTGAAACCATGGGACAAAATAAACCCTTCCTCCCTTAAGTTGTTTTGCTCAGGTATTTTGTCAGGCAATGAAATGCTAACTAACACAGTGGGCCACATTCTAGGAGGGAATAATCTACTAAAAAGGACAAGACTAGTGGCTCAAGTGGAGAGTGCCTGTCTAGCAAGGGTGAGGCCCTTTGTTCATACCACAGTGCCACCAAAAAAAAAAAAAAAAAAAAAAAAAGTAGATAGGACTAGCACCACCAGCCTCTGGAATCCGACTGATTCTGGGTTTGAATCTACTCTTTCTTGGCTGTGTGACTTAGGAAAGTTGCTTAACATCTCTGTACCTCAGTTTTCTCATCTGTCAAATGAAGATAATCATAGAAATTGCCATCTACCCCCTGGTTCCCAACCCCTCCAGTACACATCTCTCTTTCCAGGACGCCCCTTGCCCTCTCTGCTCCCTACTCCCATTCTGGTCCCCAGCTGAGAGAAGTGTGTGACTGGCCTTGAGAGTACCTAGGAGACTCTGAAACACCCATATGTTGTAACCATACCTTCTTGAGCGGCAAGGGCAAGGGGCTCTTGGAGGCATTGACGTTCAAGATGGGCTTCAACATGTTGACATTCCAGATGATGATGTCACTGTTGTAAGCCGAAGTCTCAAGGCACTGGTTCTGGTACTTGGCCATGCTCAGGACATCCTCCCTATGGAAGGTCTGCCATTGGTAGCACAAGAGCATCGGCTTGGTCTTGTGGAACCTGTGCACATGGCCAGAGGCAGGAAGGCTGAGAGCTCAGCCTGTAATGCTCTTTTAGGGGAACCACGGTCTTTAGGATTCTGGGAACCAACTCAGATAAAGATAGTCTCTAAGGTATGAGAACTCATTTAAAGCCCTGCCCACAATTTCATTTCCTAAGTGCCTACTATGTGCTTTCCATAAATGCTCTGTCCTCAGAGCTTACCGATAATGAATCTTAATTCACCCTCATTCAGATAGCTGGGTAAGGATTAAGGTTTAAAGAAATGGGAAATGATGGCCCTACAAAGCCCTGTGAAAAGGAAGGGACCTTATACATGTTGCTCCTTCCTCCCGGAAAGTGTGTCCAAGTGCTTCCCAGCTCTGCTCCACTCTCTGCTGATCTCCCACACACTCTACCCACAACACCCTCAGCTAAGCCATTCTGACTACTCCTCCAAGATTAAAGCCCCTTTCTACCCACCCACTCCCATAGAAACCTTTTTTTCCCACAGCATTCAATATACTTTATAAATTAAATTACTTCATCACTTGATATAAACTGAATGTTTCTGTTCCCCCAAAATGCACATATTAACACTTAATCCTCAATGTGAGGGCGTGTGGAGGTGAGGCCTTTGAAAAGTGATTAGGTCATAATCACCAGTGCTGCAAAACAAAAAAAAGGGAAAAAAAAAAAATCCTTACATCTTCATCCCTAAGTCATCAAGGGTAGCTCTGATGAGGGCACAGAAAAGAGGAGAGTTGTACGGAAAATGCTGAGTATCAAGCCCAGGATCTCACACAGGCTAAGCACATGTTCTACCATGGAGCTACACCCTGCCCCAACCTTTTTAAGCATTACCCAAATAATCAGACTGTTGGTAGAAACATGGTACAGACCATTCTGATGAGCTCTGAAAAGAACACGATGAACATGTCACTGGAAATTGGAGGAAAGCTGCTCTTATTACAAAGTGGCAAAGAACTTAGCTGAACTCTGTTTGCATGCTAGTGTTTAGTGCCAAGTAGGACTTGCAAGCAATGAAACCAGGTATTTGGCTAAGAAAATTTCTAAGTAAAGTATTGAAGGAGTGGCCTGGTTTTTCCTGTTTATAATAAAATACAAAAAGAGCAAAAAAGATTTAAAGACTAAACTAATCTGTTGATCAAAGAGGACACAAGGATGAGAGTAAGCTCAGTAGAGCACTTGCCTAGACTGACTGCATGAAGCCCTGGATTTGATCATTAGCACTGAGGAAAAAAAAGGAAACAGAGCTTAAAGACTTGGAAAGTTCTCAGTCTTTCCCTGTTGAAAAGAATAAGCAAGTTTGTTGGGGTGTGACCCTTAGTAGATCAGCCATCTCAATGGAAGTTTCTGGCTATCCTTCAAGACAATAGAAGAATGACCCAGTAGGCAACTCAGAGATTAGAACTGTAGCAGAAGGGTTTCAAAGGAGGGCAGTGCCTTCTGGATGTCAGCACTCCCTGCCTGTCATCACCCAATCTCATAGTGCCCCTGCCCCCAACAGATCTGTGGGCCACAACTCAGTACATGGACTATACCCAGCAGAGCCAAGATGGCACGGCTGCTTCCACCTTCTAATGAGCGGAGTTACAGGTCAGTATCCCAGTACCAGAACCACAGGACCCATGCAGAGACCCACTTCACGGGCAGTGCCACTCAAAGCCATGGAAGTGGGCTGCTGGAAGCTTGGGACCATCCCCTACCTGGCTGGCTTCCCAGTTGCTCTAGAAAGTCGTACCTCCTCTCTAGGGCCTGGAGGGTAGAACATCAAGCCAAAAAGGATTATTCTGCAGTCTGAAGACCTAATGGGGTTTGTCCTGATGGATTTTGCACTCACTTGGAATCTTTCACCCTTTCTTCTCTCCTATTTCTACCTTTCGTCTATCTTGTGCCTGTCCCACTGGTGTATTTCAGAATCACATAATGTATTGGTATCACAGGGTCATAGCCAAGGATAATTTGTCTCAGGATGAATTCTACCTTCGGTCTCATCTATATCTAATTTAGGTGATATCTAGATGAACTCTGGACTTAAGACTTTAAAGTGAATGCTGAACATGTAACACCCTCATGGAGCCTGATCCTTACTCCCTCCCCCAAGTTCTGTTGTTGGGAAAGAGGTCAACCCCAGGGATAATAATATAGCTGAGCCAACCCAGGAGACTGATGTTGCAAGAGCCTAAGGCCTAGAGGTATGTATTTTGCATGTGAAGACACAAATTTGGGGGAGCCAGAGGTTGTCTCCCAAAATTCAAACATTAAATTCTAATCCCCAATGTGAAGCCTTTGAAGGGTGATGAGTTCATGAGGATAGAGCCCTCATGAGTGGGATTAGAGCCCTTACAAAAGGAGGAGAGATCCCTTTCTCCTTCTACCAGGTAAGGTTATAGCAAGAAGATAGCTTTCTAAGAACCAGAAAGGGGCCCTCACCAGACACCAAACCTGCTAGCACCTTGATCTTGGGCTTCCCAATCTCTAGAACTTTATAAATAAATTGCTGAATAAATCTGTAACCTACCCAGTCTATAGTATTCTGCTATAGCAGCCCAAACAGAATGAGGCACTTCCCAGGGGAATAAGATGCTCTATGAGGAATGCAGACTCCATCATTCTTGCTCATGCCCATCCCCAGCAGAATATCTTGAACACACTAGCCTCAATGAATTAATGAGTGAATGGATAGACGATCAGGTGAAGCAATGGTCATTCCCACCATTCATTTTCTGCTTGGTATTCCAGACATTAGGAAAGCTAGAAGTGGAGGGGAATCCATGGAGTAAAGAGAGGACCCCCAGTGGTTGTTTCCTACCCACCATGCACACTTACTACTCACATGAAACTTGTGATTTTCTTATTCCACCCTGTCATATAGTATACTTTGTTCATATGGGCAATTCCAGTAACCTGCCGAAGATGAAAGAAAACAGAACTGTAAAGCTCCTGCAGAACATGTCAGTAGGTCCCAAACGTTTTCCTAAATATACCAGCCAAGAAGTCAAAACTCTCAGTGATGAGAATTCCTTAGAGTTAACGTCACCATCAATTTTTTAAGAGTGCTCTCACATCCCATGGTCTAACTTAATGGACCTAGACCATCAAATTTTAGGGACCTAAAGGAGATCTAGGTTAGGTATCCATGCCCAATTTATGGAGGGATAACTAGGACCCAGACAAGTGTCCCGACTATGGACCAGTAACTACCAAGTGATAGGATTTGGATCAGTACTCAAACTCTGGCTTCTTGGCCAAGTACTCTGAGTTCATTAAATGATTTTGTCAAAGTAGTTAAACACAGGGACTTAGGTCCCAAGGTTGCTTTTCTCTATGCCACAACCACAGGCTGTCCCTGCAACCCTGTCAAGTATTTCCAGATGGAGAGAGAAGCACAGGAGCCCCTGAATCACATACCTTACTGCTACAAATGCAAGATGTGAGATAAGAAGTGTTACCAAATTTAAACAGTAACTGGTATTTGTGGAAACTTACTAAAGACAAGCACTACTACCCCACATCGTTTTGTGCAGAAGAACCCAAGGCTCAGACAAGTTGAAGCAAGGCAGCCTGACCATGTCATATGGCCTTTCAGATCAGACTGACCTCCATTTGGTCTGGGTTGGGAAAGGTTATCAGGCATTCGCCAGTGTTGTAGTTCCACATCTTCATCGTGCCATCATGCAAACCTGTGAGCAGACACCGCTCTGATTCATCCAGGGTCATGGCTGTCAGCTCCACTTGCTGGGCACCAGACACAGAGAACTCCATTATTTTCCTGCCCGTCATGATCTCCCACACACTCACTGTGCCATGCAGACAGCCACTCACCACCTATGGGGGAGCACACGCATAGGGAGATGAAGAGGTGAGTGCCCCCGCTCACTGCCAAGGCCAAGCCCAGCCCCTCCCCTCCACACTCTGAGAACACTTATGCTTGCCAAGCATCACATCATCCATCACAAAAAAAAGGGGGGGGCAGGGAACAAGTTAACTGCCCCTCAGCAGAGAAATACTGAGAGCAAAGGACAGTCATGCCTCTCCATGAAATATTTTCTGCCATCACAACTGACACAATGAAATAGCAGATGAAGCTTCTTCAGACCAACCCTTCTCCTGAGAAAAACTGGGAAAAATTCAAAACCAGAAACAAAAGCTGCTCGACAGCACTGAAGAGCCCTAAAGTAGTGATGGTGGTGGTGCCAGGAGCCAGAAGAGGAGGCCGAGAAAGGTAAACTCCAGTCATGTGTAGCCACCCTGTCCAAAGCCTTGGCTGAATGAGAGATCCCACTGGGAGTGAGCAGAGGACCCAGCAGCCCTTTCTTTTTTTTTCCCCTTTTTCTTTTATTATTCATATGTGCATACAAGGCTTGGTTCATTTCTCCCCCTTGCCCCCACCCTCTCCCTTACCACCCACTCCACCCCCTCCCTCTCCACCTCCTTAATACCCAGCAGAAACTATTTTGCCCTTATTTCTAATTTTGTTGTAGAGAGAGTATAAGCAATAATAGGAAGGAACAAGGGTTTTTGC